CCGTATTTGGCGCTGTAAATTCCGAATTAACAACAATCCAATGTTTCTTAGATCGATGTTATAAGCGCAAGTATACATCCGACCACATTAATGTCTATGAATTGTTAGATCAACAAGACACACGTATCTTCAAGAATGTTTTTAATAATACAATACACCCTTTAAGAGCTATAATGCCAAAAAAGAAATCAACCAAGTACAATCTGAGGAAAGAGACAAGTCACCATCCTAAAATAAACACTGATAGGTTCAAAAACACGTTTGTCAACCGCTTAATTTTTAAACATAATCTAGTCTTATAATTTTTATCTTGACTTTCTCTGTAATTTATATATATAGCTTCTTTTAATGTTGTAACATAGGATATGTGATTATTTATCTTATGCCTTAATAAAGATTCAATTCAATTTTGTTGAAATTCTGCACCATGGTGTATGAGGAACCATTTGTGACTTTTCCTGGGACTTACAGGACGCTGATGTAGTTTGCCGTCAGCTTGGATACAAGGAAGCTTTATCAGCAACCGGTGGTGCAGCGTTTGGACGAGGAACTGGTCAGATATGGCTGGATGACATTAATTGTGTAGGAAATGAGACTTCGGCCCAGTGCAGTCACGGCGGATGGGGAGTTCACAACTGTGAGCATGACAAAGACGCTGGTGCAGAGTGCCGGCTACTCAAAGGCTAGTTAGATCTTGCATACTTGCTTAATCCAATTTTTGATTTTGGTCTCTGAATTTTCGGAGGTTACCAACCTTTCATGGGAAGCTTGGCAAAAAAAATATTATTGCATTGCATGGGAAGCACGGATTCAAATCCTGTCAAAGTTTAATATTTTCACACTACTTTCTCTGTAATTTCTTCAACTGCAGTTCGCCCGTGAGGATCATTTCGTTACTCATTGTCATCCAATGGTCAAAGTACAGCCTATTTCATTTATTTTTTAAAACCTACGTTTTTATTTTGCCGTAAAAGCACTTTAAAAAATACTCAAATAGCTAAGTTATTTTATGGTCTCTATGTGCAATTTTTTTAGGTACTTGTTATAAAAAAAAAACAACAACAGAACACAAAAGATGGAAACATTTGAGTAACCCGCCTGCTGCAGAGCTCGCTACCTAAACTACAACTGAATCCCCTATTCAACTCAATCATCACAAGGCACTAATCCTTCTATATTTTTGCCCTATTTTTGATTCACTGCGAACGTAAGAAATTAACTCGTTCTCAATTAATGAATTGCGCATCGACTAATTGGTTGGAGTATACGACTGGGGATTTCCGAGCTCTCTCGCGAGCGTGTTAAAACCTGCTTAGAAAACTTTTAAAATACCACTTAAAACATAAACCTTGGCTTATTTCGAGTAACACACAACTTTATTGAAAATTGGACGCTACAAATTTCAATAAATGGGCCTTTTGGCTCAGACGCCGAATTCAATTACCCGTTATGGCTGTCCCCTATGCAGTTCCAGGAAGACTGCTTCAAAACACGTAATAATAACTTATGCAGTCGGCTTGTCACAGGCAGAGGTAGCCGTTTGAATCGAAGCCTTTTTAAGCCGTGGCAAAGTCGAAATTACCGGCTAAGCCATGCGGGAGGAACGGCTGAGCCATTCCAAATTGATGAAGTCGCTCTTTCCTGGGTCGCACGCTGAATTTTCATGTACTTAAATCAAATTAGTACTTCAGTTCATGAAAAAAGCATTTTATATGCTGAGGCTTCGCTCTCCATTTTCAGGCTTCGATGCATTCACATTCCAATAAGATGAATCAACGTACTTCAGCATCGAGACATGAATTGTTTTTTAATCATGAAGGCATGATACATATGATAAAGACTGAAAATTTCAATCTATTAGTCATTCTGATATATCGCAAGAAACACGTTAGATAGTTCTCAGAACTATAATCACTAAATGTAATAGCTAAGGTCCATTTCTTGAAAACGAAACCATATATTGTGTTTCTAGTTTCAATCGAAATGTAGGTACGCTAAAGTATCGTAAAAACTGTTTTCTTTTATTTTCATGTTAACACAGTTCGTTTGGTGAGTCCAAACAATGTACCATCTTTTGGACGTGTTGAAGTCCAGTTTAAAGGTACGTGGGGAACGATATGTGGGGATAACTGGGGTCAACAAGAAGCAGATGTGGTTTGTCGTCAGCTTGGATATGACGGAGCTTTCTCAGCACCTGGCGACGCAACATTTGGACAAGGAACAGGTCCGATATGGCTGAATATGGCACAGTGCGAAGGAGATGAGACATCAGTTTCACAATGCAGTCACGCAGGATGGGGAGGTCATAACTGTGGGCATGACAAGGATGTTGGTGCGGTGTGTGGCCAGATAAAAGGTGAATTCAATGCTATACACACTCTTATTTTTATAATCTTAAAGCTTTCAACTCCACGTTAGGGATATTTACTGAAAACTCTTGCTCTGGGAAGAGTTTAAAACGCAGCATTTGTTTTCACTTAAACGTTGTAAATATCGACATCATTTAAAAACATTCTACACCTTACCTTTACTTGTGATGCTATGGAACGCGTTGTGACTTTCACGCTATACTCTTGGGTGACCCGTTTTTGTGTAGGGCTAGCGGCAATTTCTCTCGTTATTCTCTTTATCTAATGGCATGCTAGAGCTTACTTTCCTCCGAATGAAAATGTGTAAAAAACGTTTTCTTCGGCATACTCACGTTAAGCTGAAGGAAAGGACACAAAGAAATTCTTAACTCTACAAGAGAAACTAACACCTATTACTCTGAAGACGTTTTGAAAACGCTAAAATGTTATAACGCTTATTATTACAAGCAAATGCGTTGGCTTTTGATATAGGAAGGACACAATGAAATAATGAGAATTGCACTGAACATTTCGTCAAGTGGCATCGTCTCAGACTTGGAATTAAACAGTCTACAACCTTTTCTCGAAAAAAGTTGACTAACTTTTCCTTCTGAATTGTGCTGTTGAGCTTAACACTTGGTTGTGTTCTCGATTTCATGGACCTTTCATATTGCCGATGCTCTTGCATTTTTGCGTGACATTTTAAAATGATGATAACAGTTTTAGAATGTGTATTATCGCATAGGGACCACCTTGAGAAATGCGTCTGTAAGTGTGCCTCTGGCTAAAAAATATTGCTATTATGATCAAGCGGAGCGTTTTTGGTATAATGAATACTTGAAGTAATTTCAAAACTATCTCGTTTTAAAAAATTAATTCTATGGAATTTTTCCCCGCAGTTAAACCAGCATCAAGTACAGGCACCACTTCATCCCGAACAACTCCTAAAGGTAAATACTTTCTTTTTTCATACTCTTGAAATCATAGATCGGAATTCGATGTTACGAAATGAAGCGACTAAAAAGCTACCAGGTCAATAATTTTTCATTGCAGTGGTAGGCTGACGAGTCCAGGGGCCCGTTTCTTGAAAGTCCCGGTAACTTAACGGGCCGGGAGCCGTGTTTTCAAATCAAAATTTAAATGATAGGAAGGCAGGTTCTGGCACCTAAACCAGTCCTTTTTGTTTCTTCGGCTTATGGGTGTATTGAACCATTTTCAAAACATTTAAAATCCCCATCTTGAATGAAAACAGATCAGCTTTACGGGCCCGTTAAGTTACCGGGACTTTCGAGAAACGGGCCCCTGGCCCACTTTATTGAAAGACTGGATAGTGCTATCCACTGGATAAATCTCTATCCGGTGGATAGCGCAGAACGTTTTGTTAACTCTTTATCCATTACAGAACGATTTATCAGTTGGATAGCGTTATCCACTCTTTGAACATCTAGGCCCTGGCCAAAATATTGCTATATGGCTTGGGCTCGTGAACGAAAGAATACGCACTCTGACTGGCCAGATACTAAAGCGAAAGAGAATGTGGACAAACTTTTGTTTGAATGAATAAAACAACAACAAACTCAACCAATAGAAAATAAGCTGACGTTCCGAGCGTTAACCCCTCGTCAGAGCGAATGACGAAGGGCTAACGCTCGAAACGTCAGCTTTTTTATTCGTTACGGTGGATAATTTACATAGAGTAAAAACCCGCAAATAAGAACCTAAAAATTAAGAACCTGTTAGCTTAAAATTTGCCATTTATACCCCCTATAAACAAGAACCTATTTAGCCTAAAAAAATTAAAATAGGTTCTTATTTTCTAAAATCATATAGTACATTACAGGTACACTGAAATTATTTACTGTAATCATAATCGAAGAAAAACCAGATTGCCATTGCTGTAAAACATGATTTTCTTAAGAAAAATGAGTGCAAAATATGTAGTTACAAAATATAGGACAATTACCAACTTGTTATGCAGGTGTGTTTTTCTCCAAGAATAAGAACCTGTTTTAAGAACCTAAATAGCCTAAAATTTTGTTAAGTACCATTTATATAAGAACCTGTTTAGTGGTTTGGTTTGACTGTCGCGACCGACAGATCCAGGTTTTGAAGCATACAACAACGTTTTTTATTCTCTCTTGCGGTCGTGAGCCCTGAGATGACTCACTAGTCCAATATAAGAGTGGCAAACGTTTGGACACTTGTGGCATGGATAGCAACCCTGCTATCCATTCTTTGCGGCAGCGACGACGTTCCCTCAGATCTTCTATTCGAGCATCCTCAAACTTCGCAGCCCCGCACTTAACAGCTGTCTTCCACTGGGCTCTATCGCTTACAAGAGCTTCGAAGTCAGTTATGTCGCATTTGTTGAGCGTGCTCTTCAATTGATCTTTAAAACGCTTCTTAGGCCCACCAACTTTACGGGAACCATCAGACAGTTCGCTGTATAAAAGGGCTCGTGGTAGTCTCTCGGCGCTCATACGAACAACATGCCTTGTCCATCGAAGGTGGGCTCCCATTATGTAGGCCTCAATCCCGCGCATATGGCAGTGAGACAGCACTTCAGTGTTGGGTATACGGCCTTGCCAGGAGATTCCACTAATTCTCCGTAGGTAGCGCATATGAAAGGCATCTAGCTGTCTAATATGTCGGCGATATAATGTCCAGGTTTCTACACCAGAGAGTAAGACACTAAGAACAGCTGCTTGATAGACAGACACCTTTGCCACTAGAGAGACGTCATGAGTGTCCCAGAACATCGAAGCAAGGCGCCCAAATGTTGAACTTGCTTTCGCCAATCGTGCTGCGATTTCAAGGTCGATGGAGCAATCGTTAGATAGATCACCTCCCAAGTAAAAGAACTTTGTGACTGCCCTCAAATTGTCAGATCCTATCGTGAATGCTGGCTCTTTGTAGCAGCTACCAGGCTTAGGTTGTAATAGCACTTCAGTTTTCTTTATGGAGATCGAAAGGTCATATCTCTTTGTGGTATTACTAAGGCAGTCAATAAGAACTTGAACATCTTCTTCGGTGTGGGCAACAAGAGCGCAGTCATCAGCCTAGAGTAGCTCTATGACCAGTATATGGTGGACTTTGGTCTTTGCCTTAAATCGTCGAAGGTTGAATATTCCTCCTTCGTACCGCACATTGAAATTTATGCCTTTCTCGCAATTATGAAAGGCATCATAGATCACAGCGGCCATAACAATGCTGAACAGCAGTGGTGCAAAAACACAACCTTGCTTGACACCATTATCTACGTCAAAGGGAGCAGATTCCAGCCCACCGTCCACAACATGCTTGCATGCCATCATGAAAAGATCGAATGATGTTTATCACCTTTTCTTGGAAACCAACTCTGTGGAGGAGCATCCAAAGTCCTGTATGGGACACCGAGTCAAAGGCCTTTGTTAGATCTACAAAGAGTATATAGAGGTCACGCTGCTGTTCTCTGCATTTTTCTTGCACTTGACGCGCTGCAAAAGCATGTCCACTGTACTGCGGTTCTCCCTATATCCCCATTGGCTTTCAGGGTTCACTTCCTCCGCCAAAGCAGTTGCCCGTCTCACTATTATACGTGCTAAGATTTTTCAAGCAATACACAACAGCGAGATGCCACAATGATTGTTGCAGTCCGCTCGTTCGCCCTTCCCTTTATACAAATGAATGATTTTCGCATCCTTGAAATCTTGTGGAACGACCTCTTTTGTCCATATAACGGAAAACAGCTGCTGTAATCTTTCAGCTAGATAGGGGCCACCATACTTGAAGACCTCGGGTAGAATGGAATCGCATCCAGATGCTTTACCATTTTTAAGCACACTGATGGCATTTGTGACTTCATCGAGCGTTATCGATAAAGTCAGGCATTCAAGTGTTGGTCTACTCGGTAGATCATCAAGCACTGCATTTGTTATGTGGGATGGACGGTTTAGCAGTTGTTCAAAGTTTTCAGCCCATCTCTCATGGGCTGAACACTTCTCCCATTAGCTCATTATAGAAAATACGCATATCGTTCTTGTTTGCCGCACTCTGCATCAGTCTAGCTTTTTCCCTGCATCATTCCTCTTTCATTCTCCTGATCTTTGCCTGTGCTGCAGATTTCACATGTTGATAGTTCTCTTCTTTGCTTGATTCAGCTTGTCAGAGAGCCAATCCAGATGTTTTTGTTGCAGGTCTGATAGAATGGACACTATCTGCACATTGTTTTCATCAAACCAATCTTGATGCTTTCGCCGCTGGAATCCCAATGAAGCTATAGCAGCTTTGGTGATACCTTCTTTTACAACGTTCCATAAACGTTCTACATCCATCGCCTCTACATGTTCAGCTGCAATACCTTCAAGCTCAGCCTTGATGTTCTTCCGAAGGAGCGCACAGTTTTCTTCTGCCTTCAGCCTACGCACGTCTAGACGAGGTGTCTTCAATCTTGATTTATGATGAATCTTCGCCAATAGGCGGAGAGAGGATTTAACTCTCACAAGGTGATGATCGGACCATGCAGTAGATTATCGCACTGACCGCGTGAGATGTATGTACGCCAAGTCCCTTTGCCTTACGATAGCATAATCTAGTAAATGCCAGTGGTGGGATCTGGGATGCATCCAGGTTGTTTTCAGGGAGTCCCTCTGTTGAAAATGGTATTTGTGATCACAAGCTCGTTAGCAACACAGAGACCCAGGAGAAGCATTCCATTGGAGTTTGTCTTTCCTACACCGTGATGACCAAGGACTTTCCCCCAAATGTCATGATCGCGCCCAACTCTTGCATTAAAATCACCTAGCAGGATAAGCTTATCTTTAGGAGGAACAGATCTTATAGTCCTTGACAGGATTTCATAGAATTTTTCCTTTATCTCGTCAGGATAAGTCATTGTTGGAGCATACACGCTAATGATGGCAGCGAAATAATGTTTCGAAAGGCGAAAGCGTATAGACATTAGCCTATCATTTATGTCTTGGGGAAGACCGACTAGGTGATTATTTAATGATGTTTTGATCGCAAAACCAACACCCGATTGACGGGATTGTGAGTCTGATTTGCCAATCCAGTAGAAAGTATAACCAGCAC